AAGTGCTCTAGGCTCTCGAGGTGGTTTATAACTAGGCGTCATGCAGGGACTTAAGTAATGACAATAATGAAATGCAATTCGTAACTAATAGTAGGATATACTAAATGATTGATCTTGAGCACGAAGCTCTATACAAAGGAAATCCATCTTGATTATATAGTCCTTCATGCTTCCATGATTACTAGTGATCATCTATATCGTGATCCTTAGTGATCCTTAATGATCATCAGTGATCACCTATACCGTGATCCTTAATGATCCTTAATGATCACTATTGATCATTTGTGATCACGTGTCTTGGTAGTTGTGTAGCCCGTCGTAACAGTATGGCGTGGGAGAATATAGATGGGTTGATGGGTGGATGGGTAGATGGAAGCGAAAGGGTTAGGAGGGGGATGTGGAGGAGGGTGCGGAGGAGAGAGTAAGTGAATGGGGGTGAGGGGAGAGGATGAGTTGAATGAGTTGGATGAGTTGGATGAGTTGGATGAGTTGGATGAGTTGGATGAGTTGGATGAGTTGGATGAGTTGGATGAGTTGGACGAGTTTGATTGTTACGAGGTTTGCCGTCTAGATCACGTGGAAGTGCTCTAGGCTCTCGAAGTAGGTTTATAACTAGGCGTCAAGCAGGGACTTAAAGTAATGACAATAATGATATGCAATTCGTAACTAATAGTAGGGTATACTAAATGATTGATCTTGAGCACGAAGCTCTATACAAAGGAAATCCATCTTGATTATATAGACCATCGTGGCATGCGTCCCAGTGCTCCCAGTTGTCCCAGTTGTACTGGGACAGCTGAGCCTACTGGGATCCTCATATCACATGATGCTAATCACGTGATGTTAGGTATGTGAGATCCGTCGTAACATTGATGAGTTGGATGAGTTCATATAGTTTATTAAATAATAGATTATTATTATTTTTAATCTCTTTACTATTTAAAGTTAAAGTAAAAAAAAACTTGAAAATAATTATAAAATAATAATATTTTATTTTTATTATACTGAAAAAAATATGATATTAGAGTTTCCATATTTTTATTTACATATTTTTTAAATTTTAATATAAAAGAATTTATTATTAAATTTATTTTTTAAAAAACAAATTTCCAAAAAAAATCCAAAAAAAATCCAAAAAAAATCCAAAAAAAAAAATCCAAAAAAAAATCCAAAAAAAAATCCAAAAAAAAAATCCAAAAAAAAATCCAAAAAAAAAATCCAAAAAAAAATCCAAAAAAAAATCCAAAAAAAAATCCAAAAAAAAATCCAAAACAAATATCAAAAAAATTATATAGAATGAATTAGGGGAGAATGTAACGATACTGTATACTGTATTGGAGGCAGCGTGTAACGATACTGTACTAAAGGCAGCGGCTGCCTGTCACGATTCACCATTAGGATTGATGGTGTTACGATGGTAGCAAACTGATTAATTAGGAGAGCTTAGGCCGTGTGCAAACACGATCAGATTTCATCGAATTAGTATGTGATCTTGGTCACCTGAAGATCGTATGCGCACGCACCATCAGAAATCGCGTGATAAGGAGTCTTGAGGAGCCAGAAAGCTCCTAGGGGCCCCCTTTATTGTTCAGTATATAGTCAGAGTAGTTTTATAGTTTAGGAGCTTCGTGCTCAACTTAGTTATCAATTAGTTTACCTACATTCTACTTGATCTAGTAACGACTTCACTTCCAAGTGAAGACTAGTGATAAAGCCTTAACCCATAACTACCAATCAGACGAAACCTCAGGCAGCCGCTGCCTCCGGTACAGTATCGTTACACTGCCCTAGGGTGCGCTCGGATGGTAGTTGTGCGTTTAGGCTCTATAACCTGGTCTACACTTGGAAGTGAAGTCGTTACTAGATCAAGTAGAATGTAGGTAAACTAATTGATAACTAAGTTGAGCACGAAGCTCCTTAACTACGAGACTAAATGAATGTTTATATACCCTATATCATCTTTTGAGGACCTTTGGGACCCTAAGGTCCAAAAGGTCCTCAAGGTCCTCGAGGTCACGTGAATTAATGAATCGTGACACAGCGGCTGCCTAAGGTTTCGTCGGGTTGGTAGTTGTGGGTTAAGGCTCTATCACTGGTATTCACTTGGAAGTGAATTCGTTACTAGTGTTACGAAGTTTGCCGTCTAGATCACGTAGAAGTGCTCTAGGCTCTCGAGGTGGTTTATAACTAGGTGTCAAGCAGGGACTTAAAGTAATGACAATAATGCAATTCGTAACTAATAGTAGAGTATACTAAATGATTGATCTTGAACACAAAGCTCTATACAAAGGAAATCCATCTTGATTATATAGTCCTTCATGCTTCGTGGCTCGAAGGGAGCGAGGGGATCGAGCTTCGATCCTTTCGCTCTCTTCGAGTCCTCGCATCACGTGTTATTCTAATCCCGTGACCTAATTGTTACCTGTCGTAACAACACAATGAATGGAGACTGGAAACAAAAAGATGAGCCAGCTAGAAGATAGGAAAGTTCCGTGGATATTGCATGGAGTATGAGTCGAAACCAAGACGTCTAGAAAATAGATGTTGGAATGTATATCTTCATTATTACTGCAGAACACGGACTGGAACAGAACGAGTGTGTTGGAGATGTGTGAGGCGCTGCGGAGCTGGTGTACTGCGATGTGTGGATATGATCTGGGCTTGGTTCATTTCCTTGAAGTAGAGTGAAAAGCTGGGATGCAGATGCTTGAGTGTGGATGCCATTGATTCCAACAAACTACTATATCTGATAATCGGAAGGCCGTATGGTGCGTTGCCTGCTGTTTTCGAATGATCTAGACCCGTGTCGAGTGAAAATGAGGTTGCTGAGATCTGAGAAGTGTCACGTAATCCGATCTAGAGCTCGAAGTTCCATGTTCTCTAGAGCCCCCCTCGAACCATGTCTGACTTAGCCGCTGTTTCCATAGGGAACACTCATATCACATATACTCAGTGCATGGGTCAAGTAGATTTTTTGAGGAGCAATTTAAATTTTTCTTGCAAGTATTTCATTTTAATGGTTCATTTATAGCGCAGGCACTATGTCCATCAGTACAAGCCATCCATTTTTTTCGAAATTACCCTTGTATGATGACCTTCATATCAATGCCCCATCGCGCAAACCCCAGCCAACCATAAAAAGAGAACATCTATGCAGCAGTGATAGCTTGACGGATACGAGCACCACGTTGTCTTGAAGACAAGTGTGCGGTCTCACGTCCAACAACGGCCTCAGACTTCTGAACAACTTCCTCTCCTTCGGTCAAGATCAATTCAATGTGGCAAGGATTTGACATGTATGGGTTAATCTATATTGTATTAGTATCAGCTGTATCGTAGGCTCCGAATATAACTTACGCGACCGTGGGCACGGTAAGTTCGGCGACGTTGCTTTGGTGCTTGGTTGACTTGGATGTGCTTAACGATCAAGTTTCCGGTATCGAGACCCTTGGTATCGGCGTTTGCCTCGGCGTTCTTCAAGAGACCGAGGAGGAACTCGGCGCTCTTTACTGGCCATCTAGCACGACTGACACCAAATTGCTTTCCTTGAGCAGCACGTCCAGTTCCTCCAGCATATCTTCTCATTGGTACGGCCTCCTTGTGTTCTTGAACGTTCTCAAGGAACTTGACGGCGCGTTGGAGCTTCCATCCCTACGTTATATTAGTATTTGCCGGATCGTAAAGGCTTTAGGGTTTGACTCGCGTTGATAGCTTGTGCTGTCTCGCGAGTGTTCTTGAAAGAAACTCTGAGGTAGGAGCCGCGAGATCTGGCGCTCTTGGCCGATTCTGGTCGGGGAGTCAGTGAATGCCTAGGGAAGAAGATTTCGGAAGGCAACGAGAAATCGACTGCATTTTCGTACCTATTTCAGTAGCGGCGTATCTAACCTGTGAATAGATATCTCGGTCAGCAAAGTGTTCAACCAAAAGGTATTGCTCCAAAATCTGGTTGTCCAGGCAAAATCTATCACCAGCTCATTCTGCCAAGTCTCCAGCGCTGAGAGACCGAGAATTTGGATTCAACGTTCGTTTTCTTCGCAGAAGAGTCCTTCAGGTACCAGCACTATCTGCCAGAGTTTTCGGTTTAGATGGACCAAAGATCTGGCTCAACGGCGTCGAATTTCCCTGCAGTTGGCCCCCTCCATCACCCAAGCTTCAATCCATTAATTTCCAACATTTAATTGTCGCAATTGATTCCGAACAATCGCACACCCTCCAAAATGACAATAAGAAATACATTAAACGTACCATCTTGACGTTTGGTTGCTGCGGTCGTTAGTAACGGAAAATTTCGGTATAATCTTGATGCTCTGAAATTTCGAGTTCCTTCCGTTTTGGCTCGCTTGTTGTTGTTTGCCCTAACACATGACTTGACTAAGCCAAATATGGTAAGTACGCTAAATTCAACTTTTGCACTTTGCTGAAGTGAAGCGAATTGTACGAACTTTTTTGACCTCTTGAACTTCCTGCCTCTCGAAACGCCTCTCGACAACATCGACAATTCCAGATACCGTCGCCCATCATGTCTTTGGTTACGTATGTCAAAATTTCACAATTTTCCTTTAAAATTCAGGCCTAGAAATGCTCAAGAGTTATTTTGTGACCTTTATTGAGGTTGCGCTCCAGAATTGATCGTTTTTGGCGCCCCAACCTCGAACTTGCCTTAACCTCGAACTTGCCTTGAACATTTAGCTGACAACATATATACAGCGGGGAGAAGTCCAACTTTCAATACATTCTGCGTCTCCTCAACACTAACGTTGAGGGAAAGCAGAAGGTTATGTTTGCGCTCACTAAAATTAAGGTAAACTTGTTTATCTCAAAGCTCTTCCTCGGATACTAATCATATCCTAGGGTGTCGGACGTCGTTACTCCAACTTGGTCTGCAAGAAGGCCGATGTCGATCTCAACAAGCGGTATGGATTACAATGAATACGGGAATAGAAGGACGAAGGACTAATTAATTATAGCGCTGGTGAACTCACCTCCGAAGAGCTCGAGAGAATTGTTACCATCATCCAAAACCCAACTCAATACAAGATCCCATCCTGGTTCCTCAACAGACAACGCGATATCGTCGATGGCAAAGACTCCCAAGTTCTCGCCAACGGTGTCGACTCCAAGCTCCGTGATGATTTGGAACGCTTAAAGAAGATCCGTGCCCACCGTGGTCTCCGTCACTACTGGGGTCTCCGTGTTCGTGGACAACACTCCAAGACCACTGGACGCAGAGGTAGAACTGTCGGTGTTTCCAAGAAGAAGGGAAATTAAATATTTGCGCTCTGGGATTTACGGTTGGGTGGAGTGTGGCTTTTGCGATGGACTGGTACTTTACATCTGGTTCAACAGCTTATACAGCATGATGCTGTTACTGGGTATGCCCCAGGAAAATCAGTACATGGAAAGGAAACAATAAATCATCAATGGCCTCCCTATAATTTTTATGTGCTTTCCAGAATGATATGCCAAGATCGAATTAATGACATGTCTGAAAAAAACGAGAGCTGCTTTTACCAGCATTCTAGGGTGAAAGTGTTCAAAAGCCAGAAGCAAAACTCATACCTCCACATGTGCATTTCTATCAGTCAGCTTGAATGTGGCCAATAATACAGTCACCAAAACACCTTCGCGCATTTGTACTTTTTGCTAATAGAGGGAGGAGCCAACTTCTCTTCCAAAGACCATCGATTTCTAAAATAGGGGGGAGACATACCAAGAGATGAACAAATCAAGAGTCGAACTTCTTCCCACGGCTTCACGTCATCTTATTCATGTTAGGCCCATGGACAAACATCGTTGGAGGATGTCTGATGTACATGTGAGATAAGTCCCAGGAGGAAGAAAATACTTACAAGTTTTTCAATCCTAAGCGATTGTTCCAAGTTTGATATTCAAAAAGCTTGAGCTTGAGCTTGAGCTTGAGCTTGAGCTCCTAGAATTACTGTTATACTTTTGGCTTTGATGATCGATATCTAAACTGGAAACCAATATCAAAATGCCATGGTCTATTTCCGCCGGTTATATATATAACTTCCTAGTGATTCTTAAAATGACAGATGAGCCAACCCACAGGATATACGGCAACGTAAAATTTAAACTACTTTTGCTATCCCCAACGCCATTCTATACCCGCTAAATGATCCCAAAGCCAAGGTCAATAGAGAAGATAGACTCTAATCCTCATGAGTAACAGCCATGTCCAACACCTCCACTCTTCCTTGACCCTTCGTCTCGGTCCCAATAAAATCTCCCAACCCCTTAAAGGCACCGGGTTCCACAAACCCCACAACCTCCCACTCCGACCCCATCACATCCTGACTCTCAACTTGTTCCACATACCCCAACACCCTATCCTTAACCGACTCCTTCTTATCCCCCCTCCTCCTCATCCCCAGCTTTCGGCCCCGCACTCTTAACCACCTGTTTCAAAATCTTCGTCGGCAACGTAACCCTCAGCCTCATCCTTGCTCTTGCAACCGGAATCGGCTGATGAGCAATCAAAGCCTTCATCGCCTCCAACGCCTGACTCTTCGCACTCTTCGTAGCCACTACCCCCGTCCACGCATGTTCCCTCGCTCTAGGAATTGGTTTTGCCTCCCCCTCTTCCCCAGTCGTCGGAGTCGCATTCTCACTTCCTACATTCCTCTCCTTCTCCTTCTCCTGGGCCTGCGAGCCCTGCGAACTAAGCATCTCTAATGCCTTCTCTATCATCCCCGTAGTATAAACCCGCTTCGTCTTCGGATCCACGAGTTTACTCGCCACGATACTGATGACTTCATTATGAACCCGTTCCAGCTGCGCATGACGTTCTTTCTCCCCAACTTGTAGTTCCCCTTTGTTTAATATCTCGAGAATGATGTCTTGGATCGGTGTATCTTTTCCAAAGGCTTTGGCTAGATCGGCGGTAGGAGCGGTTTGTCCTCGCGATACGTTGAGAAATACATTGGGGATTTGGAGAACGTTGTCGATGTCTTTTTCGTTGCCGGATCGCCATTCTAGGACTTTGTTCTTGTAGCAGGCGATTTCGAAACGCTTTTTTGCTTTTTTGTAGCGTACGAGGGAGACGTTTGTCAGTTTTATTTGGTTGGAGGGTTGGTTGATGGGCATTTTGACGGATGTGGAGGAAAGTTGGTATATATTAGAGAAGAGAGGGTACGAAGAATAGATGTTATGGTTCGAATATTCTCTTCTTCGGAATGATTTTTGAGATTTTTCTTTTTGCGCGGTCAACTTTACATCACCCCGCTGAGTCACTACTGTGCGGCACACTCGCTATCAAATTCTCGGCCATGTTTTACGGTTCGGTTCACTTATCTACACTTATCTTATAGTGGAGAGAACAAGAATATTTCGTAAGATCTTGAATGAATGCGTCTTGATCATGAGCCATAATGAACCATAAACGATAAACATTCTTCAATGAAAAGCACATTGCTATCAAAACCATCCAAAACTCCTTTACCATATTTCCCATATCCCATATCCTATATCCCACATCCAATATCTGAATCATTGATTAATCGGTGAATCAAGGTCTGAGACCTGAGTCAGCTGGTCATCGCGGGTACCTTGTCAGATTTAGCTATGCAGTGGCGTCAGGGGAATTGCCACAGGCTGTGCTGTGATACGCTAGGTCTCTCTTGATAACTGTTTAGCAGGATAAGCTCCGGAAACGTCAACACTGACTGTGTGCAGTAGATAGATTCCTGGTCACTGGGGAGATTCAAGCCGGATATTGTTGATGGTTCAAGTAACTCTGATTTGGTATTCCTTCGATATGATAATTCTGAAATGATAGAATAGACGGATTGATAGATTGATTGTATTCAATCAATAATGATCAATAATGTTTGATCCCATGATTACCAAACATTCTTCCAAAGTATGCTTCATTCACCACTTGCTTGATGTTGTGATTCTCATGGCTGGCCGACATTTTCAAACCCCCCAGGGTGCCTTGCTACGTAATGAAGCACGAGCACATCCTCATCAGCATCTGCATCTGCCTGCAACTTAGGTAGCTCTTGCTTACCCTATCAGCGCGCTCAACAGTTACCGCCTTGAAACCCTATTCAAAGCTTCCATCCATCCTCCTTTCTTCTCTTTCTTCTCTTCCATCTTCCATTCCTTCTTTTTCTCATACATCCATTTCTTTTGGTAATCATCTTATCAAATAGAATAGAATTACGACAACATTAGAACTACTATTCTTCATTAGACTTCATCATGAAGCTCCTCGCATCAACCGTCCTTATGGGCGCTGCTGCTGCATCTATTGCACCTCAACAACAAGTTCTAAAGAATCCATTTCAATCAGCCTCAAAGCCAATCTCGGAAGCATGGTCCAAATCAATGGAATCCTTGAATCATCTCACCGATTCCATGAAAGATATGACCTCGGAAGCCAAAGCTGTTTGGGATGAAGTTTCAACGCTTTTCCCAGAGGCGATGGATAGAGCTACTTTCTTCCAACAACCAAAACCTCACACAAGAAAACCTGATACCGCTTGGGATTATGTTGTCAAAGGCGCAGATATTCAAAATGTCTGGGTTGAGAACTCCAAAGGAGAGAAGGAGCGTGAGATTGATGGAAAGCTTGAGAAATATAACATGAGAGCTAAGAAGGTCGATCCTACGAAGCTTGGTGTTGATAAGGTCAAGCAATACAGTGGTTATTTGGATGACGAGGAGAATGATAAACATTTGTTTTATTGTGAGTATTTCCCTTCCTCTGATGATACCTAGCACACTTCATTGCGTTGTGCCACCTCTTCCTCCGACAATTCTACCTACTCCAAGTATATGTGCTAATAAATACTAGGGTTCTTTGAATCTAGAAATGATCCTAAGAACGATCCAGTCGTTCTCTGGTTAAACGGAGGACCAGGATGTTCTTCTTTGACCGGTCTCTTCCTCGAACTTGGTCCTGCCTCAATCGACAAGAACGGCAAATTACACAACAATCCATACTCATGGAACGCAAATGCTTCCGTTATCTTCCTTGATCAACCAGTCAATGTTGGATACTCATACAGTGGTGGATCTGTCAGCAACACAATCGCTGCAGGCAAGGATGTTTATGCTCTTCTCACCTTGTTCTTCAAACAATTCCCTGAATACGCCAAACAAGATTTCCACATTGCTGGTGAATCTTATGCTGGTCATTACATTCCAGTTTTTACACATGAAATCTTGTCTCACAAGAAGCGTAACATCAACCTCAAGTCCGTTCTCATTGGTAACGGTTTGACTGATGGACTTACACAATACGAACACTACAGACCAATGGCTTGTGGTGAGGGTGGATACCCAGCTGTTCTCGATTCTAGTGAATGTAAAGCTATGGATAACGCTCTTCCTCGTTGCCAAAGCTTGATTCAAAGCTGTTATGATAGCGAAAGCGTTTGGTCTTGTGTCCCTGCAAGCATTTACTGCAACAATGCTATGATGGGACCTTATCAAAGAACTGGACAGGTATGTTACTTGATTTAAACTTATGATACATTATGCTAATTTAATATAGAACGTTTATGATATCCGTGGCAAATGTGAAGATAGCAGCAACTTGTGCTACTCTGCTCTTGGCTGGATCAGCGATTACTTGAACCAAGCCGCCGTTCAAAAGGAGCTCGGTGTTGAAGTCAGCAGTTACGACAGCTGCAACTTTGATATCAACAGAAACTTCCTTTTCCAAGGTGATTGGATGCAACCTTTCCACCGATTGGTTCCAGATATCCTCGAGCAAATTCCAGTCTTGATCTATGCTGGTGATGCTGATTTCATCTGCAACTGGCTCGGAAACCAAGCATGGACTGAAGCTCTTGAATGGCCTGGACAAAAGGGATTCAATGCTGCTAAGACCAAGGATCTTCAATTGGAGAATGGTCACAAGACTGGTACCTTCAAGAGCAGTGGTAACTTTACCTTTGCACGTATCTTTGGTGCTGGACACATGGTTCCAATGGATCAGCCAGAAGCTTCATTGGATTTCCTTAACAAATGGTTGAATGATTATACTCTATAGATATTAGATATCATAGATTAGAATATGCATGGATGAGAATGAGGGATGAGGCAAATTGTATTTATTACGATGAGGATTGGATTGGGATGAATGGATGGGATAGGACTTTTCATTTGGATTGTATTACAGTAAACAGGGAGCGGATAACATGGATAGATTAATCTGATCAATATTTATATGAATCATAGTTGAAGTGATATGTGAATGAGCCTTTCTTGATGAGATGTTGAGATGGGTAGGATAATGGATACTCCACAATAGGATTGATTTGTTTTAATGGGGTAATCTGAATCGGATGAGCAAATTATTGATTAATATTGGCATTTTTAGATGAGTAAGATCTCAGCTTGGATATAAAACTACCTACATAACTTTATAATTATCCCAACCTCATCTAACACCTACTCTAGTACCTACCCAGCCAGATATTTCTCTCATCAATTGCAATCAATCCCTTCAATAGATAATAAGAAATCCTCTCATAAAACACCACTTTCAATCCCAAACTACTACCTAGGCATTGTAAGACTTACATAGGTACTTACTAGGTATGTAGTATGTACTGTACATTCTTCGCTACTAGTACTAGTACACCGCCGCATCGTTAAAAGTTAAAACCCGGTGGTTGGGTTGGGTTGGGTTAGTAATTAAATCACTCGTGCGCTGTTCTGATAGTTGTTACGAGGTTTGCCGTCTAGATCACGTGGAAGTGCTCTAGGCTCTCGAGGTGGTTTATAACTAGGCGTCAAGCAGGGACTTAAGTAATGACAAATAATGATATGCAATTCGTAACTAATAGTAGAGTATACTAAATGATTGATCTTGAGCACGAAGCTCTATACAAAGGAAATCCATCTTGATTATATAGATCTTCATGCTCCCTTGGATCCTTTTGGATCCTAAGTTCCAAAGGCTCCAAGTCACGTGTTTTCTGACAGTGCATATGCATACGATCCTAAAGTGACCCAGATCACATATTAATTCGATGAAATCTGATCGCTTTTGCACAAGGCCCAAGCTCTCCTAATTAGTCAGTTGTTACTATCGTAACAAATCAGATCAAGTAAAAAGTATTTTATTCTGTATAATTGATTGTCTTTATTTTTGAATTTGATATTAAGCTAATTCCAAAATATGTATAGTCTTATATTTATTCAAGAAATCTTATTTTGAAATGAATTTAATATATTATGAAGTTATTGAGTTTATACAGTACTTTGTGGTGTCACGTGTGAGATGTACGGTGTCGGATCTTCGTAATTTATAGTCCGCTTTTTTTCTTATCGTGGTGATGATTTCGACGGGATGGATGGATGGATGGATGGATGGGGCGGCCCGGTGGATGAAGGACGATGATTGGTATGTATTTTACTATCTAGGTGGAGCGGTGGAGTTGGACTGGGAGCGGTGGAGTTGGAATGGTGGAGTGGTGGAGTGGGAAGGGTAGGTACTTACCTGCCTTTTTGAGATGTTGGATTTTGATGATGAGGAGAATGATGAGGGTTTTTGGGGGTTGGGGGTTGGAGTGGTTTTTGGGTTGGAGATTGGGTTGTGGACTATGGGGATTTTATGAGAGGAGTGTAGGAGTGTAGGAGAGTAAAAAAGCAGGCCGCCGGCGGAGGGAGAGATAGTAGGTATGGATAGATGGATATGTGCGTCGGGATGGAAGTCTAGAGAGACGGATGAAGTGCACTTGCAATTGAAGCAATGTGAAATAACGATGGCTGTGTGAATAAAACGACGGAATGGTACGGGCAATGATGGAATAAATGCAGGAACTCGGGCACCCCGTCGCTTACACAACCTTGATTGTGCATACGATGTGCAGATAGGTATGCAGATGTGCAGATACCGGACAGGCACTATGTAAAAAAGTTGACGCCCCGCCCTCTTCCGCTCACCTTTTACGGTGCGAAAAGTGTAATTGATTAAGGTCTTACATCCATACATACTAGGTAGGCAGGTACATATGCAGTAGCTCTTGAGTTTTAATACCTCCTTTCCTCTTTTTTTTCTCTCCCTCTGCTTCTACTTTCTCTTCCTCTTCTCTCCATCTCGCAAATACATCTCATCATGTATTCTACACTTCGTCTCCCGCTACTCCTCACCGTAGCTGCGACTGCACGATCGCAATTTGTCAAGGCTCCTACGGATCTTACTACTACGACGGGATATTTGGATTTACAGGTTCGCTATAAGGAGGTTCCGAGCGGGATTTGTGAGTTGCAAGAGGGAGTGAAGAGTTTGAGTGGTTATGTGGATGTGGAGGAGGGACAACATATTTTTTGGTATGTTTTGTTGTTGAGTTTTTGAGAGGAGGAGAAGATGGATAGGCTTGGATTTTTCATGGTCATTCTTGATCAGATTGCTTTTTTGCTGGAATCCTTTCATTCTTCATGCATCTATTCTTTGAATTATTTCTAGGGCTCTTACAATGTGCTAATATCTCAATAGGTGGTTCTTCGAAACCCGTAATGGAAATGCATCGGAAGCTCCATTGACTGTATGGATTAATGGCGGACCTGGTGCATCGTCTATGATTGGATTGTTTGAGGAAAATGGACCGTGTTATATTGATGTCGATGGAAATGTGGTTAATAATCCTTATAGTTGGAATAATGTTAGCAATATGCTTTACATTGATCAACCCTCTCAGGTATGTAGTGTTTAATTTGAGGGGATTAGGATTCATTGGATGACTTTGATGGATATTAATCACTTACTCATGGGCTCGTGAGCTCTTGAGCTCGAATCCATAACTGATATTTCCCAGGTCGGTTTCTCATACTCCATTCCTGTAAATGGATATGTTGATCCTAGTTCGGGTGCAATCGTCACATTACCCAATGCTACTTGTCCGGATTATGCACAGGATTGGGATTGTGGAACTTATAGTTATGCGAATGAAAGTCTGACGGTTAATTCTACGCATGCTGGAGCTCCAGGCTTTGTAGGTTTTATCCATGGTTCTTTCAAAGTGTTTTAACTGATGATATTACAGTGGAAAACATTGCAAGGATTTATGGGTGCTTTCCCTGAATACTCTCGAAACGGATTTCACTTTGCGACTGAGAGTTATGGTGGTCATTATGGTCCTATTTATAATGAGTACATCGAAACTCAAAACGCCAAGAATATCTCGGGTGCTCTTCAAATCTCTCTCGAATCTGTTCTAATTGGAAATGGTTGGTATGATCCATTGATTCAATATCAAGCATACTATAACTTCACCGTTTCACCTGGTAACACCTACGATTATTCCCCCTTTAACACAACCGTGGAAGCTCAACTGTACAATAACCTATACGGTGCTGGAAATTGCATCGATCAGGTTAAGGATTGTGCGGCCAGAGGTATCAATGAGATTTGTGCCGCTGCGGATAACTTCTGTGCTGATCTCGTTGAAAATATCTATGATATTTATTCGGGAAGAGATGAATATGATATGAGAGAATTGAAACCAGATCCTTTCCCATATGGTTATTATGCTTCTTATCTCAATACTCCCGAGGTACAAGCTGCCATTGGTGCCTTCCAGAATTTCACTACTGGTTCAAATGCGGTTGGAAATGCTTTTGCTTCTACTGGTGATGATGAGTAAGTGGATTCAAAGACTTAAATACTATGAGAGTTACTAATTTCTCTTAGCCGCGAAGCTGGTACCATTGAAGCAGTGAGAGCCCTGCTCACCCAAGGAGTATACGTTGCAATGATGGCAGGCGATGCCGATTTCAAGTAAGTCCTCCCACCAACCCAACAACACACCTACCCACCTACCCTACTAACCCACTCACCAGCTGCAACTGGCTCGGCGGCGAAGTAATCTCCCAAGAAGTAAACGCACCCAACTTCTCCCAAGCAGGCTACACCAACATCAGCACATCAGACTCAATCGTACACGGCCAAGTAAAACAATCCGGACTCTTCTCCTTCTCACGCATCTACGAATCCGGCCACGAAGTCCCCTTCTACCAACCTCTTGCCGCTCTCGAAATCTTCCAACGAGTTATCTCACGACTGGATATTGAGACTGGTTTGATTAGTATTGATGCTAATAAGACTTATTTGTCGGTGGGTACGGAGAAGAGTACGTATAGAGAGGGTAATAAAACGATTCAGTTTGAGGTTTTGCCAGCTGGTAGTACGTATAATACTACGTTGAATGGACCGAATCCGGTGGAGGGTGGGAAGAGAGAGGGGAAGAGGGAGTTGAGGAGGATGGTTTTGGGGAGGGATGGTGTGGTGGGTGGGAAAAGGAGGGTTAAGTTTGGGGGTAGGAAGTAGATGCAGTGGAGTTGTTAGGCTGTGGGTGAATGGGAGTGGGAATCAGGATGGACAAAATAATGTAACTGATGTATATGGTGGGATTGGTGATTTGCAGCTGGCTTTACCTTGACTGGCAATAAAGAGTTTTCACATGGAAGGTTGATTTAAAAGGGAGACGAGCATAATCGATAGCACACGCGGGGGTATAGAGGTACATATTTCAAACGTAGATAATGAGCGAATTTGCAGAAAAATGACGATAAAATTCCAACTCCTAACTTCTAACTTCAAACTTATACACTCTCTAAAACAAATCCTAATCCGTCACCTCCTCCTCCCCCCCCTCTTCTCCTTCCCACTTCCACACTCCATAAAAGCGCCAAAATCGCACAATGCATGTCCCAACAACAAATTGCGAAAAAGAAAAAAACATCTCCTATAGTAACACAAGGAGAGTCCGCACTCAAAGGTCGTTGTAATTCTTTCTCGTCTTGTACGCACAACTCTTGATTATTCCTCCGAAGAGGGATAATCGGGAGTTGGGTATCCAGCTCAAGACCGGCTTGGGGGGGAAGCTTGGTCGAGCGAGGTGGAAGACTTTTTTCTTTGGGGGGGGGAACAGGGGGAAGATTGGAAAGGGAATATAATTACCATGCATACCTACTTGATTGATATATATACATATACCTATGCAATGCGGACTAATGATAAAAGACAGGCATCGAGCAATAGAATCTAAAAGGATCCCCTTCCAGCATCCAATAGCTTACTGTACTCACCATCTCTCAATTGAGTAATTAAGTGAGTGATGAGTGAGTGAGTATGCCAGTGACTAGAGTGTACTAGATAATTATCAATGATGATATGACAGAGTGAACTCTAGTATAGTAAGCCGTTGCTTTTGCTTGATTGTTTATGGGCATGGAGATGGAGTGGAAGTTGATTTGTATGAACATGAATTGGTTTGAATTTTGAATTATTGAAAGAATTTTTTTTTAGGATTGTTGGGTCGGAGAAATGAAAGGCCGGGTTTCCGGTTTTCATGTGATGGATAGTGGATGGATTTTAGGAATTGGGGAAACGGAGATAACACGGTATGTAAAGTCTTATCAAAATTAGGAATTCCGAGAAAAGGATTAGGATACGTAGAAAAATGCCATACCAAGAACTTTACTCTGTTTAGAAGGCTGAGGTATCTATGGTAAGGAATAGTCTTGGCGTTTGATGGATGTATGATCCATGTGCCATATATCCGTATTGGCATTTTTGAACCTCGAATTATTGGTTAAGATGCTGTTTGGGTCTCGTATGGGTGTTGTAATTGAGGAATGGAAGGATGGGTTTGTGTGGGTTTCTTGTATTGTTTTGAGGTTTGCGAGGAGGGGAGAGACAATCTTGGTAGTAAGTAAATAGTATGTACTCCGTAAATACGCATTTGGTTATTGGTACCCTGTTTTCATCAATACAAGGATGAGTAAAGCCATGAAATGGGGTGAATTGAAGAGAAAGCCAAGACTTGGCCAAAAATTGGTATGGGATGTTATGGTCTTACCTACCACGGCTTTGACAAATGAATATACTATACTAGGTAATTGATTCTGCATTTAGAAGTTACTATGTTTATATTCGCTTTCTTCCTTTTCTTCTTTCCTATTTGGTGTGGTGGTTGAGTATTCTTTCTTGATGTCATTGTCATGGTCATATTGCTGTCGTACATTTCAAAGGAAGAAAGGTAATGCTACATGAGCTTGAGGACGACTTTGTGTTGAATAAATTTCATTGAACTAATGACAGTTGATTGCATGCGATTTCACTCAATTGATTGATAATTGGAATTATTGGTTTGTTGTTGAATTCCAATTGAGCTTGAGTTACATTGCTCTGTTCCTATACGCGTCGATTTGGACTGAACGAGAGAGCAATATTCGCATGGAGTAGATGGGATAGTAGGGTGATAGAAGGGTTGGATTATTGCGCAAAGATGTCTCGTCTTAGATTGACAATTCCTTCTGCGCCAAATCGTTTTACCGTGGTAATTGAGAAAGGTTTTCAGATTTTACTTTCATTTATCATTATTTGTGTTATCTATAGATATTGCTGGATAGGTAGCTACCCCTCTTTCCCCTCCTCACAACTATATCCTTTAAACAGACAACTAACAATCAACTTACAGATATCTCTGACCCATACAAATGTGGTGCTCTACTCAATAAAGGTCAATGGCTTGATCCAGGTCCAAGATGGAGTTCCCGAAATCCTTTTCAAAATTGGCAACCCCCAGGATGTATGATGTATGAATACAAGCAAAAAGATATACAAGAATGTTTCAAGGATCGCAGATTAGTATTCATTGGGGATTCCACCACGCGACAAATCTTCTGGGCAGTTGCAAAGAAGATGGATCAAGAAAGGGCAGAAGAAGGAATCAAGGAACATTTGGAGTTGGAGGAGAAACATAAAGATTTGGAGTTTAGTTCTTCAGGTGTTACGGTTCAATTTATTTGGGATCCTTATTTGAATTCGACGAGACTGGATCGAGAATTAAATAAATTCAATGCAAATCCGGCCCAAGATTCAGAAACGGATGAGAGTGCTGGTTTGATACTATTAGGTGCTCCAGGTTTATGGTATGCGAGACATGGACAGGAGAATTTCTTCAAGGATTTTAGGGATTCCATTGAACATGTTATTCCTTTCATGGATCACGATGGAGGAGAACATGCTGTAAAAGCATCATCATCACAGCCATTTCTTTCGAGGAAGAAATCTCCGAATTTCTTACTATTAGCTCCAGTTCAGGTGCCGTGGTATCAAGCTTTATCACCATCACGAGAAGAAACTATTACACCAGAAAAGATTGATCAAATGAACGATTATTTACAACAAGTTTCTGCACATTCACAAGCCGACATTGTCTGGAGTTTTTCACTTATGACTTGGGCCGGTCGTGGAGAATATGAAGAAAGTGGATTACATGTGGTTGATAATGTAGCTCATCGAAAAGCAGATGTTCTACTTAATCTTCGTTGTAATGCGGATGCAGCAGAACGTGGTTATCCTTACGAACGAACTTGTTGTAATAATTATCGAAAACCAAATGTTATTCAATGGCTTATCATTTTGGTTGGGATGATATTACTTCCTATTTTCTTTTTATTACGTCGTAAGCATGTCTTACGAGTCGGAAAGTTTTTACCTCAAGCAGAGGTCCTCGGTGCTTTTATGACTTTTGCTTTAGTAATTTGCTACTGCTATTACGCGGATCGAACTCAATTATTTGAGAAAGAGCAAAAGCAATTTCGTAGGAGAGAATTTCTTATTGCTTCTTCCTTCGTACTTATCATTGGTCTTCTTTCTATTAGATCGACTACCCCTTCGAGTCCTTCCAAAGGAATTCATGAAATTGGAGCTCATGCTCTCGATTATGGATTTCTTTCGAGAGATCAAACTGATGAATGGAAAGGATGGATGCAATTTTTGATCCTCATTTATCATTATACCCACGGATCAAAAACTCTATGGCTATTTGAGATTATGCGAAATCTTGTTGCTGGTTATCTTTTCATGACGGGATATGGACATACTATGTATTTTCTGAAGAGGGAAGATTATTCTTTCAAAAGAGTCGCTAGTGTTTTGCTTCGACTCAATTTGTTAACTTGTGCCTTGTCTTATATGATGAGAACTGATTATATGGCTCATTATTTTGTTCCACTTGTCAGTTTTTGGTTCTTGGTAATTTACTTTACCTTGAAGATAAGACAGACCGGCAATTCCAGTACCGGATTCTTATTGGGGAAAATCTTCATTTCGGCTATTCTTACAACGGCTTTTATAAAAGCCCCTGGAGTTCTGGAAGTTCTAGCTTTTCTTCTCAAGTATTCATGTGCGATTTCATGGAATATGAAAGAATGGAGGTATCGCGCTGGGATGGATATGTTCATCGTTTACATCGGCATGATAACAGCAATTCTTTACTTACGTCTCACACGCATCAAATCCGCCTCCATAAGTTGTACATCTAAAATCGATATCCTTCTTCGACCAATTGCTCGTCATCCTACTCTCTTCAAAACAGCCTCCATAATAGCCTCACTCATCCTCCTGCCAGGTTTCCGTCTCTTAACCAAAAGATCTCCCGATAAGGAAGATTATCTCTGGTGGCATCCTTATATCTCCTTGGTTCCTATTCTGTCTTACATTGCGTTGAGGAATGGAAGTAGAATGCTGAGGAACTATCATTCAGTGATTTTTGCGTGGCTGGGGAGATGCTCGCTAGAAACTTTCGTACTGCAGAGTCATATTTGGATGGCGGCAGATTTGAAGGGGTTATTGCGATTGGGGGTTTGGGGGAGGTGGACTGAGGCGGCATTACTTACTGTGGTTTTTGGTTGGGTGGCTTGGAGGGTGCAGGGGGCTACGGAGAGGATTGTGGGATGGTTTGTTAATGGATGTTTTGGGATGGGAGGGGGTGGCTGTGGAAATGGGAGTGCTGGGCTGGGTGTAGGGGGACAGGAAAAATATATTTTGGGTGATGAGGTTGGTGGTGTAGGGATGGGGAAGTTGGGATTGGGTATATTGCCGACGGATGAAGGCGGAGGTGAAGAGGGTACTCCAAGTAAACATTTTAGGCAGGGAGGTTGGAGTGGTGGTGGAGAGGGAAGCGGGAATGCGAATGGGAATGGAAATGAGAATGAAACGGGAGCTCGGTACTGGAGAAATAGAATTATGAGGGCTTTGAGAACGGATTTGAGATGGAGAGTTGGTGCGTTATTGGTTGTGTTTTGGGTGGGGAATTGGATGTACAGATGATTACGAGGAGGAGGAGGAGGAGGATGAGGACGGTGGGGATATGTGTAATACTCCTAAGGGATGGGTAGGAGGAACGTTGCGCGGAAGACGGCTTGGGAATGGTTAGAGATGGTTAGAAATAGTTAGAAATTAGCGATGAAGGTAATCTTCCTAGTTTTATATACTTAATTTAAACAACTTATGAACATCTTTATACCCATACACAGACACATATATATACACAAATACACAAATTAACCTTCCTAATACCAGAAAAAACATGATTCAGCTACATGAAGCCCTGCGAAGTATGAATTATTGGTGGATTGGACGGAGCACAGGTAGGTATCCCGTAACATATATATTTTAAGATCCTAACGGCTACTCCGGTTTGACAAATGAATGGTTTCTTTCGCGACTTATTATTATGTGGCTTATCTTATAATGAGACCTTACTTTTGGTGTTCTCTGGATTCAGCTCAGCTTCATAGGAATAAGTTCATATACGGTCAAATTTAATTCCGACCCCACTCCGGGCCTTCTGAAGAATACCTTCCTAAGCTAGTGCCATGTGCTTGAGTATGTCATAACTATTAATTCACTACAAAGTTATTTTCAAACCTAAGCAAATATTTAATCCATCTTTAAAACATTCAAAAAGCTCCTCTTGCGCGCATCTTTAAATATCTTCTTGGAAGCCTAAACTTTCTTTACATAAAAGGATAATCTGTATCCACGAACCGCAATCTAGCTACATCCTCGCAGCAAAGACGAATCTGCAGTTAACAGCAAACACATAGATCACTTTGGAATCAACAGCTCAGATTCATCAATTCAAAGTCCAGAAGGATACACCTCAAATACTAGAGATAGGCCCCAAGAACCAATATCTACAACAATCAATACCTAGAACGATACCACGTCTGCGACATCATCTCATTTCAACATGGCGACCGACATGGATATTGATATGGATATCGATGTTGGAGTCATTGAGGATTTGCCTATTCCAGATATGGTAGACATTGAATTAATTGTGAGCAATTCGGTCTTTACCACACTGGAACATTCAAATGTCATATTTGAATGTCCCCAGGACGCGTTTCACCTCTCATCCTACCTACCATTGCTAACTTATCTTTGGTATAGCCAGATGAACCCACTCAAGCACATAACGATACATCAGCCCCAAATGATAGCTCCGGTCCAGATGCAGAAAAACCTACTCCAGAAAAAGTACATATACGTGGCTTGGACAATCTTACCACTGATGATGTCAAGAAGTTCGCACATCATTATTACGACGAGCGTATTACACGAGTAGAATGGATTGATGATTCTTCACTAAATTTAGTGTATGGAAGCAATGATATCGCTGAGACAGCTCTTCGAAAATTCTCGGCACAAGAACTTCCAGAGGATATTTCACAACTTCCTATTTTACAATCTTTCTCTGCCAACCCTTTCCCGGACAATCCTAAAATAAGCTTACAGGTTCGTCTTGCGGTTGTTGGGGATCGTAAACAAAGAGGGGCCCGGGAAAGAAGTCGTTTCTACCTTTTCAACCCAGAGCATGATCCTGCGGAGCGCAGAAAACGTGAGGGTGGACGAAGATACCGGGACCGAGATGATGGTGGTTATAGAAGCCAGCGTTATGATGAAAGAGAACAACGCAATAGACAACGTGGAGATGAGGAAGCGGGTTTTGATGCAAGTCTTTACGATGATGATGAAGCAGCTTTGGCGACTAGAGCAGGGAGACGCCATGGTCGATCAGCATCTGGTTCATCTGGAAGTGACTTTAGGGAGCGATCTGACAATCGACGAGGTTCTGGTTTGCGGGAACTATTTCCAGATAGGGGTGGAAATGATGGGAGATTACGAGATCGAAGCGCATCGCCCGTGAGAAACGCGGACAGAGCGAGAGACTACAACAGACGACGTCGAGACACAGCAGCTGTAGAAAATAGGTCAAAAGCTCAAGCTATCAAGGCTCGTCTCCGCAGAGAAAGTTCTGCTACCAGGGAACTCTTCCCGAGCAAAGTAGGTACGAGTCATCGCAAGTCCGGTGCTCTTGATGCTACGGACGAAACAGCAGATCTTTTCGCAAACAGAATGCCTGTCCCATTCCTTGATGGAAGTTCGGATGTTCGTCCTTCTGGCAAACTATCTTTGGCAGAAAGAATAACATCAGAACAGCCTCAACAGTCACAAGGTTTTAGCATTCGTGGAACTGCAAAACCTGCTCCCACTGGATTCTCTATTAAAGGCTTGGCATCGGATAATTCAACCATGAAGGAATTATTCCCTTCTCGTTCAGGGGGGGGAAATGCTGGGAAAGAACTTTTTTCAGAGAGGATAGTTGGAAGGGGTGGAAGGAGACAAAAAGCCGAGGATCTATTCTACTAGATTTCGGGAGTTATAAATTCACATAGTGACATATTTCTTTGCGGTCGATATGGTACGTGTTACCTTGGGGCATGGATACTTTAGCAAATGGAGTTATCGGAAATGGAAGTGGAAATGGAAATGATACCATCATATTCTGCATATAGTAAGCAGCAAAGTTTCATAAAAGCAAGTTGAGCTCACGGTCTATTTATATTATTTTATCATCGCCTCTCAAATGCTTGTCAGGTGCAAAATCGCGAGTCAAGGTCATATCGAAGCTTGTACATTGGTGCCTCCTCTATGAAACTGTGAATAGTTTACTAATAATGAATACAAAGACTCATAGTGATGAATCAAAATTGTGTGGTACCAGAGATTGCTGCTTGTCTGAACTTTGAACAACACAAACTACAAATGGATTCAGACAATGTCCAGGAGTTGAACATTCACCACAAAGTTGCCAAATCTATTGACTTTCAGGAACAATAGATGTTGAGTTTTCAGGACTCAGCATGTTCTAGTACGGTGATCTCAGAGTCAATATGATTTAGGTGTCCGGCCGACTCAATTGTCATTTTTACGAGTACTGCTATGGTTTGTTCCTTCTCCTTTCAGTTTTATAATTCCTTCCATTTATTATCACCACATAATCAGAAGAAAAACATCTCTTTCAAAGATCAAACCACTTTATGAATCACCTGCATCACGGTGAATATCAAAAATCAAAATGGACCAATGGCTTCGACCTGTCTTTACAAGGACAAGAACACCAGTTCAATCCACTCCAAATGATCGTTCCGAAGATCCTCATGAAGCTGAAGATACCATGAAAACTATCCGCCCCAGCTCGCGCGTCTCCTCCTATATGGGATTTCGCTCTTCCAGTACGGTGAATCTACATGCACCTGATACCTTTCCATTTCAACATGTCAATACCCCAGAAAATGCATATCATAAACCGTCTGGAAGTCAGATGGCGGAAACGTTAAAAGTGGTTATGATGACGAGGAATTTAATGGAACCAGTGCCTGTGGAATATAATACGTGTATCTTGCATGTTTTGGAGGCGTTTACTGATTTGGACGAGGAGTTGGCTAGGAAGAATCGTCCCCTTCAGGTGATTAAGGCGAG